CCCCTCCCAGACTGACTCGCTAGCCTTCTCACCTTTCTCTCTTTCTATCTCTCTCTCTCCTCTTCCGTCTCCCTCGCCCTCCTCCTCTCTCCTTCCTCTCCTCCCCTCCTTCCTCCACCACCGCCCTCCTCCTCCTCCACCACTCACCCCTCCTCCTCACCACCACCCTCCCCTTCACCACCACCCCCTCCTCCTTCACCACCACCCCCTCCTCCTCACCCACCACCCCTCCTCCTCCACCACCACCTCCTTCTCTCCTCCCGCCACTCACACCCTCCTCCTCCACCACCACCTTACCTTCCTCTCCACATCCACACCCTCCTCCTCCACCTCTAACCACCACCCCTCGCTTCACCTCCACCAACACCCCACTCGTCCACCACCACGACCCCCTCCTCCTCCACCTCACCACCACCCCCTCCTCCTCCACCTCCAACACCACCCCTCCCCCTGCACCTCCACCACCACCACCACCCTCCCCCTGACCTCCACCACCACCCCCTCCTCCTGCACCTCCATCCACCCCTCCTCCTCCTACTCCCTCCCCTCTCTCCTACCTTGCCTAAACCTAAACCTGCCACCAAAAAACTAAATTAACCATAACATTTTGTGCAGACTGGACCATCGAGTCATCATAAGCGTTCCCACTCGATTTTTAATCAACGGACCGCACGAATGGTCTCTGAAAATCGGTCCTGGCGCGCTAGCGAACGTTCGGTCTCCCAGCGCGCGCATTCCCTGGGAACCGTTTTCAAGTGAGAACACGCTGCTGATGCTAATGTTTGGCCCGAAATCTTAACAAATTACCTGGCATACCACAAGGGATTGAGTGGGGGGGGGGGGGAGAAGCGGGAGGGTGGGAGGGAGGGAGGTAAGGAAAGAGGGAAGGAGGCAAGAAAGTAAGGAGGAAGGAGGAAGGAAGGAAGGAAGGAAGGAAGGAAGGAAGGAAGGAAGGAAGGAAGGAAGGGATGGATGAATGAATGGATGGATGAATGGAGGGAGGGAAGGAAGGAGGGAGGGAGAGAGGGAAGGAAGAAGGAGGGAGGGAGACAGAGAGAGAG